TAAAAAATCCGTTATCACAATATAATATATGCGTAAGGTACATATATAAATACAAATATCTAAATATTTTTCATTAAAATTTAATATTTTTTTTAGTTTTTTTTTTTTATTAGAATTTCAAATTTTAATTGTAAATAAAAATGAGATAAAACATGATAATTTAAGAAGGTAAAGATTCAAATTAAAATCAAAAATTAATATGTTAAAAATAAATTAAATATCGTAAAATAAAGTAAAAAATAAGTGATTACTCCTATTTAAAAGTTTCAGAAGAAGTCAAGTTTATTGTCAATTATCAAAAGTTTATTTTTTATTTTTTTTTTAAATTGATCAAGGGAAGAAATTTTTTTAAACTCATTATCCAATAGGGTGTTTCATAATTTAGGTCCTCTGATTGCTATCGAGAACCTAGTCGCAGAATTATATTTTTTTGGTTGAATATTATTGTTGTTGTTTGAAAATCTTGTTGGGTATAAATGATTTATTTTTTCGAAAAATGAATTAAATAAAATGGATGCCATTTTATTATCTACTTTGAACATAAATATAAAAAGATGATATAGGTTAAGTTGAAATACGTCAAGTATTTTGAATTTATTAAAAAGTAATTTAGTGTGCAAAAAGCGATTCACATTTCCAATAATTCTTAGAGCGTGTTTTTGTTTAATTAGAAGCCTTTATTTTTAGATACATTAGTGCTGCACCAAGCAACGTTAGCGTAATTTAGAAGAAAAGTAAATATGTATCAAACAAGTTTGGTTCAACAACTGTTTTGCTTTGTATAAAATGCCTTTATTTTTCGAGATTTTATTTTGGATTATTCGTATGCGCTCCTTCCATGTTACGTTTTCATCTAAAACAACGCCTAAAAACAAAAAAAGAACTCTCTCTTTTGACATAAGAGTTATTAATAAAAAGCTTAGGAAGTTGTAAGGGTATGTTGTCTTTATCATGAAGACGATGGAAGAAAGTATATTTTATTTTTTTAAAATTTATGGACAATTTATTTGATATAAATCATTCGCTTAGTTTCACAAGCTCCTCGTTCACTGTTGTAAATAAAAAATTAATATCTTTATTTGAATAAAATACGTTAGTATCGTCGGCAAATAAAATTGAATTTAAGATATTGGCAAACTTACTCAAGTCATTTATATAAATGAGAAATAAAAGCGGTCCTAGAATTGATTCTTGGGGGACTCCGCAGGTAATTGTCATCAAGTCTGTTTTCTCGCCATCATATAAAATGCATTGTTTCCTATTCTTTAAATAACTCTTAAACCAGCCTAAGTTAGAATTTATGATACCATAATTTTTGAGTTTATAAAGAAGAATATTATGATCTACGGTATCAAACGCTTTACTCAGATCAATAAAGACACCTAAAGTAAATTTTTTTTCATCAAACGCTTTAAAAATTTCATGCACAAGATTAATTATTGCGTGATTGGCCGAATGACCGGATTTAAACCCGAATTGTTTATTGTAAAGAATATTATTTACATTTAAGAAAGAATTAAGTCTATTATACACTAAACGCTCCAAAATCTTTGAAAAACAATTAAGAACAGAGATCGGTCTGTAGTTGAAAATATCAGAAGGATCACCTGTTTCAGATACAAAATTTTAGATACATTCACCTGCATTTACCTTTCCACCAAAATTTTTAGATACATTCACCTGCTTAAGATACAAAAAATAATTTTTTCATTTCATATGTATAAAGGATTGCAATTTCATTAATTTTGATTTAATAGTGATAAAATTAAAAATAGGAATGGTTTAAAAACTAGCTTTTCTTAAAAAAAAATAAGCAAAGGACACCAAAAATCAGATAGAACAGACATTCATTGATAAGTGATCCAAATTTCAACCATCAAGCATGTAGCTATGTTATGACAACTTAGTTGTCCCAAGGTTTTTCGTAAATATCGTTAAAAACAGAAAAGTGATCACAAATCATTGGCAATATTTTAATATTATTCATTTTTTATTCCGTTTAATGCAATTATTTATTTAAGGAAAGATAGATCTTTTATATTTTTGTTATTTGTAGACTATAGCGTTTATAGAAAAAAAAAAAACTATCAATTTAAAGTTGGTTACAAAAAATAAATCTCCTTTGTTCATTAAAATTATATTTGTCAGATCCATAAAAACTATATTTGTCAGATCAAAAGGTAATCAGCAACATAGTAGCTTAGTGGTTTTGAAACATGGGATTTAGATATAAGTATTATCTTCAATCATTAGGCGGTAGTTGTAATTTTAGTACGCAACAGTACTTGATGAACTTTAACAATTGATTCATGTTGAAATCATGTTGATGTCAAGGAAAAATGGGAAAAAAAATTACTTTTGACATTGTTAAAAGTATTTCTTTTAAAAATTTTTTTAGAAAAATTTAAAGATGTTCCACTTGAATAATCTGTAAGTGAAACTGATGTAAATGAGACTTTTTTTTATGCTAGTGTACTTAAAAAATATCCATTAAAACAAAATAAAATACTAATTGGGTGTTTGTTATGAAATAATATTATATTATTTTGACAATTATAAATTAATGTGAAGCTAGATTGTTATTTTCAAAAATTTAAAAGAAAATTTGCTTTTACAATGACTCTTTAAATTAATATTATACAAACATCCTTTTATTTAAATATTTTTTTGAACTTGAATTATATAAGAGTTAATTTTAGCCCCTGTATTCATTTTGTTAAATTTCGAATATAGTCAATAGTGAAGGAAGAGCAAGTAAAAATATCTCAAAAAAGTTCAGAGTTCAAAGGTTTACGGTACTTTTAATTTTTTTATTTTCTATTGTCACCATGCATGAGTTACACTATGAAAATAAATGACAAGGTATTATTAACAAGTTATTAGCTTAAGAAACAAGGTATTATTTTAGGAAAAAAATCATACATAACTTTAAAGTTTTAAGTTAAAAAATATACACAAAAACAAAATTGAAAAAAAAATTATTAACACTTTAGGTATCAAACTCTTTTAGAAAAAAAAAAAAAATCAGTGCAATATATTGAAGTCATTTTATCTTTACATTTAATATACAATTATTGCTTAAAAGATCCGACCACTCCTATTTATTATAAGTTACTTAAAAAAAGAAAAAACATGCGTGGTCATCAAACAAAAAACATGCGTGGTCATCAAACAAAAAACATGCGTGGTCATCAAACAAATAGCATCAATCCGGGAAAATTTATTTTTATGTAAATAATAAGTCTCAGAATGATTAAGAAATGGCAAAAACTCAATAAATTTTGTAAATAAACATATCATATGTTAAAAGAAAATATTTTGGGGTCAAAGCTTTTTGGTTCAAATTTGTTAATAAAAGTATGGTTCATGCGCAGTTTATGCGTGCGTACACGTTTATGCGCGCGTTACGTTTAGTTAGTTTAAACTTAACGTTTAAAAAATAATTTAAGTTAAAATTTTAGAATATTCAAGCCAAAACAATTTATTTTTTGACTTTTCAACTACTTTGTTACTCTATTGGATTTTTGTATAATGATGGCTTTTAAAAAATGTTGATACATACGAAAAAACTGTACTGTTTAGCTTTTTTTAACTGTGTTTAAAAATTAAAGAACTTTTTATTGATTTTTTTTTCTATTTTGCTTCAGATAATCTAAGAAGACCTAACAATTTTGTCACAAAGAACCACGGAAGAGCATTTAACCAAGAAGTTCACGCCTTTCTGCCGATGGCACAAAATATGCCAAGAGTTCCCTTTAAACCCTGGTTGAAACCAGGTTTGGAAACGAGTGAGCGTATTTCGCTCTAATTTTTCAACAATATTTGAAATATTTCTAATGCCGAACAAAATCAAGCAATTTTGTACAGCTAAATTTTTTATATTTGTTTTGATAAGAGTAAAGAGTAAAATAAAGGAAATTTAAAAGTTAAAAAGTTAAGTTTAAAAGTTAAGTTTAAAAGTTAAGTTTAAAAGTTAAGTTTAAAAGTTTAAATTGTGGGATCATCTGGGACTTTTTTTATAGTTAACTTAAAAAAATAAATTTAATAAAAAAAATCAAGTTTTACATGTTTTGGTTTTATAAATAAAAAATATAAAATATTTTGTTGCATTTTTTTTTTAATTTACCTTTATATGCCTATTTCGAAACATTAATAGTTTTAAACATTAATAAAAACATATTTTTGACCTTTATCATTATTTTGATATGTAAACAAAAAAGTTATTAAAAAGTATAAAACCACAAGCAAAAAGTTAATATTTTTACAAATCTTAAAATTGTTAATAACGGTGTAAACGGAAAACAAATGTACAAAAAGAAATGTTTTTTTTTAAAAATTTATAATTTAAAATTGGGAGTTTTTCCCACTTTATCGTTTCTCTGAGACATATGCGTCGTTTGGCAGTGAAGTGCATACAGAACTCAAGCTCACAAATTCTTACTCGACTACCTTAGTGTAAATGTTAGTGCCTGCAGAGTTCAAAGAAACCTTGCCGAGAACTTTAATCCTTGGTCGTATCGACGATACGATTATGTGATTATCGCAGACGACGATACAATTTCATTGTACAACGATACGATATTTACATAGAATGTAAATACCATATGAATGTAAATACATAGTATGTAAACGATATGTATGTAATTACAAAATATGTAAACGTTATTTACTTTGTATGTAAATAATAAGCGTACACACCTCTTGATACGAAGTGCGCTGTATTGGCTTATTTATCGACTAGCCAATTATTTTTTAAAAAAGAGTGATTTTAATGCAGGACGATACTAATATAGTTTTAACGCAAAACAACGCTATTGTGCTGCATTAAATTGACTCTTCTGAAAATTAATAAGCTTGTCAATATCTATCCAATTCAGTTCACTTCCCATCACTTTTATTATTTTCATACTATGGAAATAAAAACTGCATTAATTTCTATGTAAATAATAAAAGTATAATATAAACATATTTTATAATTATAAAACAAAATATTAACTTACTGATATATTCATACTTGTTTGATCCATTTCAAGACTCTTAAATCTTTGTCATGACTTATCTAATGAGAATTTAATATTAAATTATATTTTTTTATATTATAATATTATTTTGACCAATCAAATTTAAAAACATGTAAACTAACCAATCAAATTAAAACAATTAGTATTTTATAATTCAAAGCGAATAAGAAACTTTGAACTTTAATAAAGTGTTGTTTTTTGCATCTCGTGACCCGAGTTTTTGTTTCAACTTTATTGTAAGAACTATTAAATTTATAAATTAAACTTCATATGTTGTAAAAACTTAATTAACGGATACCTAAAAGTAAAATTTTTATAAATTTTTTTTTTTATAAAATATAAAGCAAAAAATATTTTGTTTATTATTTAAAAATAAATCAAAAAGTATCCAAATTATTGTTGAAATAACTTCTTACTTTTTACAAATCATTTTTTTATTTTCTCAATTTTTTTTCAAATAAAGTTGAAATAAACAACTCTTTTTAACTTTGTTTTTTAAAGCCTACTTTACTTTGTTTTTTAAAGCCTACTTTGTTGTTGTTGTTTTTTAAAACCTACTTTGTCTTTTAAAGCCTACTTTTGTAAAAACTACTTTGTTTTTTAAAGCCTACTACTTAAAGCCACTTTAACGCGTAAAAAAAGTTTTTGAAGTAGGTTAATATTTTTTACGAAATATGTTTCATGTTAAAACTTAAACATTGTTTCTGGCACTTTTTATGACTTTTATAATTTTTAAATTAAGGGCTGTCCATTAATTATGTCAACAAAACGCGACAATGTGTCACTAAGTGGAGAAAATTTTTTTTTTCAGAATTATTACAATAGTTTTTTATAAAAAAATATGCAAAAATATTTTCAACTTTTCTTTTTGAAGATATGATTAAAATTCAGGGTTAAAAAAATACAAAATTTTGATGTTTGAATTTTTCATTATGATAAAAATCGCATTTCTCAATATACAAATATATTTTAAACATAATAATAAATTTTGATGAAATTATAAATTTATATAAAAACTTGTTGCAAAGACCAACTTGATTCATATTAAAGTTGATCCAATGACCATTTTGATGAAGACCAACCAAATGACCAAAATGATTTAAATGTCATTTCAGGAAAAAATTGTTGGCAAAAAACTATACCTTGAATGGTTAAATCCAAACACATCCTCGCTTGTTTTGTATAATGGCAGAGTAAATTAATTTGTATTAGAAAAAATGATTCAGTTTACATTATTTCCTACTCGAAAGATTACACTGGTTTACATGAAAAAACTGCAAGTAAACTGCAAGTAAAACATTATGAATTATTGAAAGCTTAAAAATGATAAATTTTGACGTACTTCTTTTTTTTTGTATCACGTCAGGTTATTGAGAAAACCACAAATTTGTGTTTACAAGTTTTATGCTTATCATCAGTGGCTTATATCATCAGTTTATGTTTGAATACAAGTTTAATTGAATATTTATTGCTGTTGTTTGTGTGCTTTAGATTTTTATTTTAAAAAAAGTTTCAGAATGCTAAGACATTGTACAAATTCAGCAGATAAACTGGGAAACCAGGATAAACCATGGGCGCCTCATGTTATTTGTAAACTTTGCGAAGTAACTATTGGCAAGTGGTTTAAGTGAAAAGTATGCCTTTTGGCGTGCCCATGATTTGACGTGAGGCTTCGAACTATATGATGGACTACTATTTTTGGATGACGAATCTTGTTGGATTCAACAAAAAGAGCAGACACAAGATTCTATATCCTTATGTACCGTCAGCCCAGAGGCCAGTAGAACACTGTGAAGACATTCCTCTGCCCGCTCCTCCTACTCAGCTGGATAATATTGAAAGTGATAACAGCTCAAGTTCTGAAGACAGTAGTGATGTTCTTAATCCTGATTTTAAGGCAGATATCACGACATTACTTTTTACTCAGGAAGATCTTGATAATCTAGTTTTTAACCTTCCAAAGTCATCAGCCGAACTGCTTGCATCCCATTTACAAAAAATAAAAGCTTCTCACTCCTGATACTAGCGCTAGTATTTACAGATATCGCAAAACAGAATTTGTACAGTTTTTTTCAAGTAAGCAAGAATTGTTATATTGTAATAATATTGAAGGCCTTGTCACATCTATGGGAATTGCTTACGATGCTAATTAGTGGAGATTGTTTACTGATTCATCAAAGCGCAGTATGAAGGCAGTCCTTCTATTTATTGGAAACAAAGTATCATCATTTCCAGTGGAGTACTTGGTTACACTAAAAGAGACGTATGAAAACATGAAACTGTTGCTCAGTTCGTTGAAATATGAAAAGCACAAGTGGTTGATATGTGGAGATAGCCATCACATTAGAACTCCAAGGAGGTTGTTCAAAATTTCCATGTATTTTGTGCCTCTGGGATAGAAAGCAGACTCTGAGCATTATGCCAAAAAGGTGTGGTCAGCGAGAGAAGGTTTCACTCCAGGAAGTCACACTGTCAAGTTACAGCCTTTGGTAGAAGCTCATCGAGTTCTCCTCCCATCACTCCATATAAAATTAGGGTTAATGAAAGCTTTTTCTAAAAAAATGGACCGTACTAGCTCTTGATTTCAATATTTGTCAGACAAATTTCCATATTTAAGTCAAGCGATATTGACTGCAGGTATCTTTGTTGGACCGCAGATCAGAAAAGTAATGAATGATAAGGAGTTTTTATCTTAATTGGTCACAGTTGAAATGCAAGCCTAGAATGCCTTGAAAGATGTTGTCAACAATTTCCTAGGAAACTTTAGATCAAACAATTACAAAAGTCTTGTCGAGAACATGGTAGCCAAATTTCAGGCTTTGGGTTGCCGCATGAATGTCAAGTTGCACTATTTAGACTCCCGCGTTGACTACTTTCCTGAAAATCCTAGTGCATACAGTGAAGAGCAAGGTGAAAAGTTCCATCAGGACATTTGTGCAATTGAAAGTCGATACCAAAGTTGTAGGAATGTGAATATGATGCCGACTATTGCTGGTCATTACAACGCCATAATCCTGGTGCTGCTAATGAGCCAAAATCACTCAAAAGAAAATTCAGAAAGTAGAAGACAATGCATAAATATATATCTGCTTTTATATTATGCTTTTGTTATTAATTTTTGTAAATACCAATAGTTTTCTGAATGACCAAAGTTTTGTTGGTGGTTTTATTGACTTTTTTCTACATTACCAAATGTTAAAATGCAAAAAATCCTGACGTGATACAACAAATTTGATTACATATTTGAAATTAGCATGAAAAGTTGTGTAAGAAACACCTATTTACATATCAGCAGTTTTCACAAAATGAAAATTTGTAGACCAGTGTTATGAAACGGATATCGTAGCTGTTGACAATTGCATGAAAAAAATCCAACTTGTTTCAGATACTGTTTCTGGAGAGTTACAATTTATATATTGTATATTATGTTACAAAACTCTGCAAAAGTATACATTTGATATTTATAAACTTAAACAAATATAACTAAATGTTGTGACTTGCAAAAATAGTACCGCAAGTGTTGTGACTTGCTAAAAGGTAATGCACGTATTGTGACTAGCTAAAAAGTACCGTGACAAGTGTTGTGACATGCAAAAAAATACTGCAAGTGTTTTGATTTGTAAAAAGGTTTTTGATAGGTGGATTTATTTTTTGTTAAAGACATTTTGTTCTTTTCAGCTAATCGTTATCAAAACAATCTAGATTTTCTTCTCTTTATGAATGGTAATGTACTCGATAAGTCATCTATTTTCTACGTAAAAAAACGCGTTGTAAACATAGTTGGACCTGGTCTTGCAGCCAACCTTCAACCATTGTCACACCGTTGTAATGTTGCTTCTCTTTCTTTTTTCTGTAAATAATAAATTGGACGCTGCTCTATTGAGCTAGCGTTTCTTGTGCCATCTACTAAAATTTATTTTTGTGATACTCGTCATTCAATTAAGTGACAACAAACACTGTAGTTTTAAAAATATTTGAGGCAATTGGAAGATCCTTTATATAAATAAGAAACAAAAAAAAAAGGTGCAAAAATGGAATCTTGAGGTACACCACATTTAATTTTTTAGTAAATTTGAGTGCAACACACTATTGTCTGTTATTAAGGTAATTTTTTAAACTATTTTAAAGCTTGATTTTTTACACCACAGTTTTTCATTTTTTCAGGAAAACTCATGGATGACAAATCAATAAAGATCCCTAATGTGATTTTTTTAATGATTTACTTATCTTATTTCAGAGTTTAAGGATTGCATGCTCTGTTGAGTACCTCTTTTGGAAACCATTGACCTTTATTGATAATTTTGTTAGTTTTTAAATATTTATTTAATTTATTGAAGATTATTTGTTCGAGATGTTTTGAGAATACCGAAATGATTGAGATTGGCCTATAATATTTTAAAGAGTTTCATTTAATTGCACCAATCCCTATTTGTCAATCGATGTATGTACATCTAAAAAGCTGCCTCAAGGAATTTTTATCTAAAAAGTATATATACTCATTAAAATATTTAACTAAATTTAAATAAATTTCAGTAAAGGTGACTATAAAAACCGGGTTGCGTAATTAAAAAAAAAAGATTTTCTAAAAAATTGGTTTCAAAATAAACACCGATTTTAAAACGTTTTTGAAAAGATAGCGATATAAGCGTTTTTAGTATAATATTTTAAACTTCAACATAAAATTAGAGTACCTCAAATTTTCAGGTCTATATTTATATAGTTAAGAGGTTAAATTAGTTTCTGAAGCTTTTAACACCGTATTTATTTAATTTATTGAAGATTATTTCTTCGAGAAGTTTTGAGAATACCGAAATGATTGAGATTTTTCTATAGTTGTTTAAAGAGTTGATTTCTCCTGGTTTATAGATTGGTAAAATTTTTGAGATTTTTAGTTTATCAGGTACAATACATGTTGTAACTGATGAATGAAATATTGGGTAAATTGAATTACATATCTCCTCAAAACATCTGACACTATTTTGCAAGAGATGTTGTCGATCCCTGGGGACTTGATTTTAAGTGATTTCATAGCTATTAAATTTTATGAA